TACCTGGTGAAGTATTGTAAAACATCCTGAAATACCTATAAATGCCATTTTAGCGAATTTGACTCAATGCATAAATTCACAGAATCTTAATTTAGCAAAAATGCCAACAATCTTATTGTGAGAATATACTTCTACTTGAATTAGCTAAATTTAGCTAATATCACATAAAGACCTAATTTATAGTACTCAGTATATTGTAGTTATGTGCACCTTTCTGTATGCTCCTCTGGTAGTGTAGGTTCGACTTATGTCCTCCATAGACCGGAGAAAATCATGTGAGAATTCACTTGGTATACATGTAGGAAACTATATAAATTCATTTATTGACTGTGTATGTATTCTGTGTTTTCTCTTCCTGACAGGCTATAATTTACTACCAGGCAGCATTGTCTTGCATTGGTGAGAAACCGTCTCACATCAGAGAGTCAGTATGTTGGGAGTTGTCGTCAACCTACTTCACCATAGCAACGCTGTTACAAGACAATGCACCATTGGCCGTTATGGCGCAAGAACAGGTGTGTACTACATTACCATGATGGTAATTAGTTGAATGCTTCGTTTTGATTGGCCAGTACTATGTACTATTGACCTTTTTTGTTTGTCCATTATGAATAGTATTTTCAGATGTACGTTTTTTAAGAAAAACGCATATTGAGCACTTGTTTGTGATAGCAGTTATTGAAAGGAAGTCACTTAATATGTTCTAGGTTGAGAGAGATATTAATGACCTGATGATGAAAGCTTTAAAATACTGTGATGTAAACCAGTCTTCACCACAGTATCCTATAGTACGTTACAGAGCAGCTACAATCCACCATAGATTGGCATCAATGCATCACAACTCATACAGAAATCAGGTACAGTAAACTTTCTCTCAAATGTTCATGGACCAATTTTGCTACTTGATGGTATACTTATGTTTCTGATTTTTTTTGTCAGTAAGAGTAATTATGGCTTAACACACTATAAAATTTCATGTGCACTGTGTACTTTCTCTGAGTGATTCTCTTCAATAGTGGATTATTGGAAATACCATCTACCAGTTTTTCAGAATTTGATCTAAATTGGAGGACATTTTGAATATCAAAAATTCTTTTTTTAAAAATGCAATCATGCAAAGAAGAAAGATGACGAGACATTAGACACACAAGTTGAGTTGTCTTGCAATCCAAGATGTATAACTCATTCTGTACATCTGAAACATACACTGATAGATTTTGTACAAATTGTAACATGTAAATTCTGACTTCATTTGTCATATAATTACAATTACTAAGGGGTCTTGGACATTGCCTGTGGCTTGTAATACCCATATACAGAGACAGGCAGGATTACAATCATTACAAACACTCTTCTATAAATCTTTCATTTGTGAGTAGGTTAATGAACAGAAAAGAAAACAAGGAAAATCATTGACTGAATTGCATTATGGGAAAGCCATAAAGCTATTCCAAGAATTGGACCGTCCCTCTGAATTACTGAGAGTGCTATTAGAAAGAGTTGCCATGTCAGAACATCAGTTTAATAGTAAGTATTCCCTTTTATTTACTAATAAGCATTAATTTGTTTAATAATGTATGTTTAGAAGTTCTCTTTGTTGAAAGATTACTGTCCCGCTACTTTCTTTCATTTCATATCAGTACGAGTGTAATCACATCAATTTACAAAACACCTTTTCTATATATTGTGCCCTCTAGTGACGAATCATTGAAATGTTACCATATTCTAGATGATGAACAATTATACAACTAAATACAGTTGTGATTGAATTACATTGCCTCCACCTATGTACGTTATTTTGACGTCACAGAAACATTTCATTTCTGGAGGATTATAGGAATGGGTTTTTGCATTGCACCCTTTCTCATCAACAAACTTCATGAATATGCAAATTTTGTACCATTTTATGAATGTTAATAAAGAACCAGAGTGGTAGCTTGCAAAAACCTTACAGTTACCTATATAAAATAACATTAAAATAAAACAAATCAAATGAAAATGGTCGTCAGTAACCAGCGGAACTTTAATGGTGTGTTCTTGAATATGACCTACAATAGCTGAATGAAGGCAATTCGTCTTCTAATTTTAATAAGACCACACCGACTTAATTTTATGGATGACATCCACGCGCGCATTAGTTTTCGCCTGTTCTCAAAAAAAAAAAAAAAAAAAAATCTCAGATGACGAGTCTCCACAGATCGATTTTCTGTCCGGAACTTGCCGACTCATATTGTCGCAAAGCGCTGACTTGTCGTAAAACTTGTTTTGGACTATCTCAAAACATGCAAATTTTGTCGTATGATGATTTTCTGCACATGCGTATTGCGTTGCCAGGAATTCCAACATGGCAACCACGCCACCAAAATACGTGAGCATAAAAGTTCAGAGGTAAAACCACAGTCAGCTGGCATCGGTGTTGCTGGGTGTATATGATAGAGGGAAGTTGTGCAACCAAATTTGCCGAGTTTGCAATTTTTTGCTGATAAGAAAATAACTAAGGCAAAGACTCGTGGTTTTTCAGC